ATATAGTGAATGCGGGGTCCGGGGAGAGCGGATATAGTGAATGCGGGGTCCGGGAAAGCGGATATAGTGATGCGGGGTCCGGGGAGAGCGGATATAGTGAATGCGGGGTCCCGGGAGAGCGGATATAGTGAATGCGGGGTCCGGGGAGAGCGGATATAGTGAATGCGGGGTCCGGGGAGAGTGGATATAGTGAATGCGGGGTCCGGGGAGAGCGGATATAGTGAATGCGGGGTCCGGGGAGAGCGGATATAGTGAATGCGGGGTCCGGGGAGAGCGGATATAGGGAATGCGGGGTCCGGGGAGAGAGGATATAGTGAATGCGGGGTCCGGGGAGAGCGGATATAGTGAATGCGGGGTCCGGGGAGAGCGGATATAGTGAATGCGGGGTCCGGGGAGAGCGGATATAGTGAATGCGGGGTCCGGGGAGAGTGGATATAGTGAATGCGGGGTCCGGGGAGATCAGATATAGTGAATGCGGGGTCCGGGGAGAGCGGATATAGTGAATGCGGGGTCCGGGGAGAGTGGATATAGTGAATGCGGGGTCCGGGGAGAGCGGATACAATGAATGCGGGGTCCGGGAGAGAGAGGATATAGTGAATGCGGGGTCCGGGGAGAGCGGATATAGTGAATGCGGGGTCCGGGGAGAGCGGATATAGTGAATGCGGGGTCCGGGGAGAGCGGATATAGTGAATGCGGGGTCCGGGAGAGCGGATATATAGTGAATGCAGGGTCCGGGGAGAGCGGATATAGTGAATGCGGGGTCCGGGGAGAGCGGATATAGTGAATGCGGGGTCCGGGGAGAGCGGATATAGTGATGCGGGGTCCGGGGAGAGCGGATATAGTGAATGCGGGGTCCAGGGAGAAGCGGATATAGTGAATGCGGGGTCCGGGGGGGAGAGCGGATATAGTGAATGCGGGGTCCGGGGAGAGCGGATAGTGAATGAGGGTCCGGGGAGAGCAGATATAGTGAATGAGGGGTCCGGGGAGAGCGGATATAGTGAATGCGGGGTCCGGGGAGAGAGCGGATATAGTGAATGCGGGGTCCGGGGGAGAGCGGATATAGTGAATGCGGGGTCCGGGGAGAGCGGATATAGTGAATGCGGGGTCCGGGGGAGAGCGGATATAGTGAATGCGGGGTCGGGGAGAGCGGATATAGTGAATGCGGGGTCCGGGGAGAGCGGATATAGTGAATGCGGGGTCCGGGGAGAGCGGATATAGTGAATGCGGGGTCCGGGGAGAGCGGATATAGTGAATGCGGGGTCCGGGGAGAGCGGATATAGGGAATGCGGGGTCCGGGGAGAGCGGATATAGTGAATGCGGGGTCCGGGGAGAGCGGATATAGTGAATGCGGGGTCCGGTGAGAGCGGATATAGTGAATGCGGGGTCGGGGAGAGCGGATATAGTGAATGCGGGGTCCGGGGAGAGCGATATAGTGAATGCGGGGTCTGGGGAGAGCGGATATAGTGAATGCGGGGTCCTCGGGGGGAGAGCGGATATAGTGAATGCGGGGTCCGGGGAGAATGGATATAGTGAATGCGGGGTCCGGGGAGAGCGGATATAGTGAATGCGGGGTCCGGGGAGAGCGGATATATAGTGAATGCGGGGTCGGGGGGAGAGCGGATATAGTGAATGGGGGTCCGGGGAGAGCGGATATAGTGAAGCGGGGTCCGGGGAGACCACATATAGTGAATGCGGGGTCCGGGGAGAGCGGGATATAGTGAATGCGGGGTCCGGGGAGAGCGGATATAGTGAATGCGGGGTCCGGGGGAGAGTGGATATAGTGAATGCGGGGTCCGGGGAGAGCGGATACAATGAATGCGGGGTCCGGGAGAGCGGATATAGTGAATGCGGGGTCCGGGGAGAGCGGATATAGTGAATGCGGGGTCCGGGGAGAGAGGATATAGGGAATGCGGGGTCCGGGGAGAGCGGATATAGTGAATGCGGGGTCCGGGGAGAGCGGATATAGTGAATGCGGGGTCCGGGGAGAGCGGATATATAGTGAATGCGGGGTCCGGGGAGAGCGGATATAAGTGAATGCGGGGTCCGGGGAGAGCGGATATAGTGAATGCGGGGTCCGGGGAGAGCGGATATAGTGAATGCGGGGTCCGGGGAGAGCGGATATAGTGAATGCGGGGTCCGGGGAGAGCGGATATAGTGAATGCGGGGTCCGGGGAGAGCGGATATAGTGAATGCGGGGTCCGGGGAGAGCGGATATAGTGAATGAGGGGTCCGGGGAGAGCGGATATAGTGAATGCGGGGTCCGGGGAGAGCGGATATAGTGAATGCGGGGTCCGGGGAGAGGATATAGTGAATGCGGGGTCCGGGGAGAGCGGATATAGTGAATGCGGGGTCCGGGGAGAGCGGATATAGCGAATGCGGGGTCCGGGGAGAGCGGATTTAGTGAATGCGGGGTCCGGGGGAGAGCGGATATAGTGAATGCGGGGTCCGGGGGAGCGGATATAGCGAATGCGGGGTCCGGGGAGAGCGGATATAGTGAATGCGGGGTCCGGGGAGAGCGGATATAGCGAATGCGGGGTCCGGGGAGAGCGGATATAGTGAATGCGGGGTCCGGGGGGGAGAGCGGATATAGTGAATGCGGGGTCCGGGGAGAGCGGATATAGCGAATGTGGGGCCGGGGAGAGCGGATATAGCGAATGCGGGGTCCGGGGAGAGCGGATTTAGTGAATGCGGGGTCCGGGGAGAGCGGATATAGTGAATGCGGGGTCCGGGGAGAGTCCGTGTTCATGCACAAAATATGAACGCGCCCGTACGTCTGCACGCATATGTGAGGTCTCTCCGTGAACATCGGAGCAGAAATTCTAGGCACGTGATTGTATCAGGTATATCCGTGTTTGACATGAACTTCCATTCATTGTGGTGTCTCATCATCCAGCATTCACCGCTGACAGAGATACAACCAACCAATTGTGTAAAAGCAACAATCACCCAAAAGACTGTATTATTGCGCCGGGTAAACAATTGGCGCATGTGCAATTTCACGGGAGGCTGCTCGTCCCATCCGAGTTCCCGGCTATTTACACTCCCTGCTATCCCGAGTCGCTCCAACTGACTGCGATTATTCATCTGTAATTAGGCAATTATAAAATCAATTGGAGGGAAGCCTCGGCGATGACAGGCCAACCGCTTGTAGACCCCGAGAAGAGGAAAAAAAAACTGCAGCTGATTCAAAAAAAAGGTTGAAATTGTTACTTCACTTGATTTATTTTTCATGGAAAACATAAATTCCATGTAAATATAATTAAAAAAAAAAAATTCGGATTACACATTGCGCATTTCCAGTTTGATTCCATTCAGATTTTATTTTGCAGAAATGTTGCTATTGTTATGTAAAAATTACATTTTTGGTCATCATTTTTTCACCATTTTTTTCACTTGAACCTCAAAACTGTGTATAGCAAAAATCTTAAAATTATTATTTGACTTTTGATTTTTTTTTTTTTTTAAATTCTTTAGTTTTTTTTTTTTTTTGAATGCATATTGTTAGTTTCCAAATGTGACTCCATTTAGATTTTGTTTTGTGGATATATTGCTTTTGTTATGTAATTCATGACTTTGATACGAGGAGAAATGGAAGCACGTTTTTTGGGTGCGGGGTCATTTTTTTTTTAACGATCTATTTAAATCTCACCCATTTTAAACTTTGTACAGCAAAAAATAAAATATTTGAGCAAATAAAAAAAAAAAAAAAAAAAACCCCCACAAGAATTTGCAACTCTTCACAAACAGATCCAGTAAGATGCAACGGCACGGATGCACATTGACAGTGCTGTGAAAAAGTATTTGCCCCCTTTCTAATATTTTTTTTTTTTTTCGCAGATTTATCACACTAGCCCACATGGAAGAAAAATATATTTGAAATATATTTTAAAAATAATTTTCCCAAATATATTGCCATATATTTGAAATGCTACAATTTTGGCCGTATTCAATATATTTCAAAATAGATTTTTATATAATATATATATATATATATCACTGCGTGACGTCATCATGTCCATATGGACCAAAATCTGTGAGGAATGTTTCCAGCACCTTGTTGAATCTACGCCATGAAGAATGAAGACGGTTGTGATGGCAGGAGGGGGATCAGCGGGTACTAGGAAGGTGGCCCCAATGAAGGGCCCGGTGAGTGTAAGTACAGGCGTACCTCGGTTTACGAATTTAATGCGTTCTTCGGGTCGTTTCGTATTGTGAAAAAAATTGTAAACCGTTTCCCATAGGAATGTATTGAAAACCAATTCATCCGTTCTGGAGGTCAGAAAGAATAAAAAAAAAAAGTCTTTTATCTGTTCAAAACTCTTTATAAAATGCACTATAAAGGCATAAATACTATATACAAGGATATGAAAAAGACTAAAAATGTCCAGAATGGCTCCAAAATTCGATGCAACAACTGGTCCAGCACCTCCACACTCGACGCCGCATGCTACCCACAGACTCCAGCATGCACGGGGTCGGCGCTATCAACCTCCCAGATGCAATGCATCCTGGGGAAAACTTGCTTCGTGTCAGGGCTCTGTCCACAGCAGAGGTACTCGGAGACCTGGCATTCCTGCCAGTACCTTGCATGGCCGCAGAAATGCACGCTGATGAAAATCTATGTACATTGGCGCATGGATGCGAGCCGGAGTGCGCATGTGCACTGGCGCATAGTTGCGCACAAATTAGCCCAGTTTAGCGCCAGACGGTCTTTATAAGGAAGCCCATCACTCCCTCAAATTGCTGGTTGATCTCTGGCTCCTCAGTACCTTTGTGCTCCCTGCTACTGTGATCTGCTGTTACCAATTTGGCTTGTTTTTGGACCCGTCTTCTCTGCCTGACTCCTGATCTGACCCCGGCTTGGCTAAGAGATATTCTCACCTGACTCCTGATCTGACCCCGGCTTGGCTAAGAGATATTCTCACCACCTGACTCCTGATCTGACCCCGGCTTGGTAAGAGATGTTCTCACCTGACTCCTGATCTGACCCCGGCTTGGGTAAGAGATGTTCTCACCTGCTCTCCTGATCTGACCCCGGCTTGGCTAAGAGATGTTCTCACCTGCTCTCCTGAGCTGACCCCGGCTTGGCTAAGAGATGTTCTCACCTGCTCTCCTGATCTGACCCCAGCTTGGCTAATAGATATTCTCACCTGACTCCTGATCTGACCCGGGTTGGGTAAGAGATGTTCTCACCTGACTCCTGATCTGACCCCGGGATGGCTAAGAGATATTCTCACCTGACTCCTGAGCTGACCCCGGTTGTTAATAGATGTTCTCACCTGACTCCTGAGCTGACCACGGCTTGGCTAAGAGATGTTCTCACCTGACTCCTGATCTGACCCCGGCTTGGCTAAGAGATATTCTCACCTGACTCCTGATCTGACCCCGGGATGGCTAAGAGATATTCTCACCTGACTCCTGAGCTGACCCCGGCTTGGTTAATAGATGTTCTCACCTGACTCCTGAGCTGACCCCGGCTTGGCTAATAGATGTTCTCACCTGACTCCTGATCTGACCCCGGGTTGGGTAAGAGATGTTCTCACCTGCTCTCCTGATCTGACCCCGGCTTGGCTAAGAGATATTCTCACCTGACTCCTGATCTGACCCCGGCTTGGCTAATAGATATTCTCACCTGCTCTCCTGATCTGACCCCGGCTTGGCTAATAGATATTCTCACTTGCTCTCCTGATCTGACCCCGGCTTGGCTAAGAGATGTTCTCACCTGACTCCTGATCTGACCCCGGCTTGGCTCAGAGATGTTCTCACTCATCATTCTCCTGTGTATGACCCCGGCTATCCTATTGACTACGTCTGCTCCAATATCCACCCGGCATCTGACCTTGGCTTTGAACCGACTACTACTCTGTGGTCCTCTGCTACCCTGAAGGCCTGCGTTCCTCTCACGGGCACCACCTGTGTGCAGACACCATTCCAGTTCATCAGCTGTGCTCCTGGGTGTACCTCTGACCAGCACTCCTACAGGAGACCGGTGCTACTTTGACTCCTTCTGCCCCATATCCAGGGGAGTCTGGAACTCAGCCGCAAGGGAAGCCCCCTCTCCATTGGCCTCTAACACCTAGTATGTGATACTTCATATTGTGAAAACAAATTGTGAATGCATTGAAAAGCAATTAATTCATTCCGGAGGTCAGAAACAAGTAAAGAAAGTCTTATCTGTTCAAAACTCTTTATAAAGTGCAATTTAAAGGTACGGGGCCGGCGCTATAAACCTCCCAGGCGCAATGCATCCTGGGGAAACTTGCTTCGTATTGCAAAAAAAATTCCTAAACCGAGGCATTATTTTCATGGATTTTCATTCATGAACCCAAAATTCCGTTAACCAAGGCGTTCGTAAACTGAGGTACGCCTGACCCTGAATCAGCGGGGGATGGAGTGTGAGAGGAAGCAGCAGTACAAGGAGCCAAACAGCGATGTGCTGACAAGAAGCATGCTGATAGGAGGAGAGAGCAGAGCGGCAGAGAGATGAGCTGTGCTGCTTCTCCTTTCACTGTCCAGTCACAGGTTGGGGCTCGTCCGGGATGACTTGGGTTCAGAGGAAGTGAGCTGAATGATGCTGGAAACCAGACTGAGGACATCTAGTGGCATAAAAGGGAAAGCATGGAATGATGGTTTTTTTTTTTTTTATCTGTTGATTTTTATCCCGCTATTCTTGGAGGCAGTTCTGCTTTAATCAGCAGCGCCAATCTGCCGAAACGCTTTTCTCACATAACGGATTTTCCTGCTTAGACTGCGATCCTGCCTAGTTAATAATAATTTGTTTAATTAATGGCAGGCTCTGTATTTTGATGTGTTTACACTTATTACGCACACATAACGGATGAGCTGCGTCCGCGTTTAAACCCCCATCATGTAATTGATTGCCCCTATTAAAGTGCGCGCCGCCAAAGAAATATGAGTGTAGATGTGTCTGGGACACGCCGCAAAAAAAAACATAATTTAGTCATTTATTTTCAATCTACAAATGTTTATAAAGCCACCAATCATCGTGACATCTCTGCACAACTTTTCAAATGATTGCAAATGAAGATCGTTTATTTTAGTTTTTTTGGGCGACATCATCACGTTCAGTCAGAGAGTGAAAGAGGTGAAAGCGGCGCAAACAGTAATAAAAGACAAAAGGAGTTCATTATTGTCCATCCTGGGAAGATTCCGAGATGATGAAATGCAGGAAACACAAACACAATGCTGGTCTCTGACCATCTCCTGTACTGTGTCCGCAGTCTCTGATCATCTCATGTACTGTGTCCGCAGTCTCTGATCATCTCATGTACTGTGTCCGCAGTCTCTGATCATCTCATGTACTGTGTCCGCAGTCTCTGGTCATCTCCTGTACTGTGTCTGCCGTCTCTGACCATCCCCTGCACTGTGTCCGCAGTCTCTGGTCATCTCCTGTACTGTGTCTGCAGTCTCTGGTCATCTCCTGTACTATGTCTGCAGTCTCTGGTCATCTCCTGTACTATGTCTGCAGTCTCTGGTCATCTCCTGTACTATGTCTGCAGTCTCTGGTCATCTCCTGTACTGTGTCTGCAGTCTCTGGTCATCTCCTGTACTGTGTCCGCAGTCTCTGGTCATCTCCTGTACTATGTCCGCAGTCTCCGGTCATCTCCTGTACTATGTCTGCAGTCTCTGGTCATCTCCTGTACTATGTCCGCAGTCTCTGGTCATCTCCTGTACTATGTCCGCAGTCTCTGGTCATCTCCTGTACTATGTCCGCAGTCTCTGGTCGTCTCCTGTACTATGTCCGCAGTCTCTGGTCATCTCCTGTACTGTGTCCGCAGTCTCTGGTCATCTCCTGTACTGTGTCCGCAGTCTCTGGTCATCTCCTGTACTGTGTCCGTAGTCTCCGGTCATCTCCTGTACTGTGTCCGCAGTCTCCGGTCATCTCCTGTACTGTGTCCTCAGTCTCCGGTCATCTCCTGTACTGTGTCCGTAGTCTCTGGTCATCTCCTGTACTGTGTCCGCAGTCTCTGGTCATCTCCTGTACTATGTCCGCAGTCTCTGGTCATCTCCTGCACTATTTCTGCAGTCTCTGGTCATCTCCTGTACTGTGTCCGCAGTCTCTGGTCATCTCCTGTACTGTGTCCGCAGTCTCTGGTCATCTCCTGTACTATTATAAAAATAGTGCAGCGCTAAAAGTAGTGTCAATAAGACAAATAAAAGTCCACTAAAAGTCTTGGTCATATGGACGTGTCCAGTGACAAATGAGGATTCAGAATTGGTGATCCGTGTGGAAACGGCTGAAAAACGCACTCACCAGAAGTAAGACAGAGCATCGGCAAATCAGAACACTAGATCTGCTTAATGCAAATTAAGATAGTTGGGGAGCCAATGAGCTGCTCTTAAGGAGCTTTTGCTTGCAGAATCTTGATCTTGGAATTCTACACCTAATCGAGAGAAGGAGGATCTGTTGCTGCATCCACAGAGGAGGGATCACCATTCCTGTAACCGGACCAGCTTTACTCCCCTCTGGATTGAGGATCCATGAGCTCTAGATGCACACTGCGTTTATGTGTCTTACTTCTGGTGAGTGCGTTTTTCAGCCGTTTCCACACGGATCACCAATTCTGAATCCTCATTTGTCACTGGACACGTCCATATGACCAAGACTTTTAGTGGACTTTTATTTGTCTTATTGTCACTACTTTTAGCGCTGCACTATTTTTATGTTATTTCATTTAAGTTTATATTGGTTGCTTAGAGTGCTCAGCCGCTTCAGGATTCAGCTGATTAGCGCTCACTGCTGTTTTTTTCTATACCATCTCCTGTACTATGTCCGCAGTCTCTCCGGTCATCTCCTGTACCGTGTCCGCAGTCTCTGGTCATCTCCTGTACTATGTCCGCAGTCTCTGGTCATCTCCTGTACTATGTCCGCAGTCTCTGGTCATCCCCTGTACTATGTCCGCAGTCTCTGATCATCTCCTGTACTGTGTCCGCAGTCTCTGGTCATCCCCTGTACTATGTCCGCAGTCTCTGGTCATCTCCTGTACTATGTCCGCAGTCTCTGGTCATCTCCTGTACTATGTCCGCAGTCTCTGGTCATCCCTGTACTGTGTCCGCAGTCTCTGGTCATCCCTGTACTGTGTCCGCAGTCTCTGGTCATCCCCTGTACTGTGTCCGCAGTCTCTGGTCATCTCCTGTACTGTGTCCGCAGTCTCTGGTCATCTCCTGTACTGTGTCTGCAGTCTCTGGTCATCTCCTGTACTATGTCTGCAGTCTCTGACATCTCCTGTACTGTGTCCGCAGTCTCTGGTCATCTCCTGTACTGTGTCTGCAGTCTCTGGTCATCTCCTGTACTGTGTCTGCAGTCTCTGGTCATCTCCTGTACTGTGTCTGCAGTCTCTGGTCATCTCCTGTACTGTGTCCGCAGTCTCTGGTCATCTCCTGTACTGTGTCCGCAGTCTCTGGTCATCTCCTGTACTATGTCCGCAGTCTCTGGTCATCTCCTGTACTGTGTCTGCAGTCTCTGGTCATCTCCTGTACTGTGTCCGCAGTCTGTGCTCATCTCCTGTACTATGTCTGCAGTCTCTGGTCATCTCCTGTACTATGTCCGCAGTCTCTGGTCATCTCCTGTACTATGTCTGCAGTCTCTGGTCATCTCCTGTACTATGTCCGCAGTCTCTGGTCATCTCCTGTACTGTGTCTGCAGTCTCTGGTCATCTCCTGTACTGTGTCCGCAGTCTCTGGTCATCCCCTGTACTGTCCGCAGTCTCTGGTCATCCCCTGTACTGTCTGCAGTCTCTGGTCATCTCCTGTACTGTGTCCGCAGTCTCTGGTCATCTCCTGTACTGTGTTCGCAGTCTCTGGTCATCTCCTGTACTGTGTCCGCAGTCTCTGGTCATCTCCTGTACTGTGTCCGCAGTCTCTGGTCATCCCCTGTACTATGTCCGCAGTCTCTGGTCATCTCCTGTACTATGTCTGCAGTCTCTGGTCATCTCCTGTACTGTGTCCACAGTCTCTGGTCATCTCCTGTACTATGTCTGCAGTCTCTGGTCATCTCTTGTACTGTCTGCAGTCTCTGGTCATCTCCTGTACTATGTCTGCAGTCTCTGGTCATCTCCTGTACTGTGTCCGCAGTCTCTGGTCATCTCCTGTACTGTCTGCAGTCTCTGGTCATCTCTTGTACTGTCTGCAGTCTCTGGTCATCTCCTGTACTATGTCTGCAGTCTCTGGTCATCTCCTGTACTGTCTGCAGTCTCTGGTTATCTCTTGTAGTATGTCTAACAGTCTTTTGTAGTATCATATTTCTGAATATTATCTGCCGCCCGGTGGCCGGGGGAAGGTACAGGAGGCCCCATATGTAGCACGTTGGCCACCACTTCCTAATACATTACAGAGTTGACTTCGGTGTCTTTTCTAGAACACACATTGAATCTACCTCATGCTGATCCATGCCACTCTGGAGGTAGCACTGGATGGAGGGCACTGTGCGTTCTATTCTAGATGGCGGGTACTGCAGGTTGTATTCTAGATGGTGGGTACTGCGGGTTGTATTCTGGATGGCGGGTACTGCGGGTTGTATTGTAGATGGCGGGTACTGCGGGTTGTATTCTGGATGGCGGGTACTGCGGGTTGTATTCTGGATGGCGGGTACTGCGGGTTGTATTGTAGATGGCGGGTACTGCGGGTTGTATTCTGGATGGAGAGTACTGCGGGTTGTATTCTAGATGGCGGGTACTGCAGGTTGTATTCTAGATGGTGGGTACTGCGGGTTGTATTCTAGATGGCGGGTACTTCGGGTTGTATTCTAGATGGCGGGTACTGCGGGTTGTATTCTAGATGGCGGGTACTGCGGGTTGTATTCTAGATGGCGAGTACTGCGGGTTGTATTCTAGATGGCAAGTACTGCGGGTTGTATTCTAGATGGTGGGCTCTGCGGGTTGTATTCTAGATGGCGGGTACTGCGGGTTGTATTCTAGATGGTGGGCTCTGCGGGTTGTATTCTAGATGGTGGGCTCTGCGGGTTGTATTGTAGATGGCGGGTACTGCGGGTTGTATTCTGGATGGAGAGTACTGCGGGTTGTATTTGTCTTGACTGGACACAAATAAATCTGGAGGTCCCTTCCTTCCAGCCGGTTCTAGATCTTCCCCATTCTAGATGACTGCAGAGGTTCTCCCGGCTGTGTGAATTTGCATCTATTATTCCGGACTATAAATCAGCGCGGCGGCGCGAGTTCCAGCAGAATATCGCATTAAGTATGAAAAGGCTATTAAGAAGAACCTGGGAAAGGTCAATCTCATCGTTCAGCATTTGTGGACGGCGAGATGTCATTTTATTTGCATTATTTATGTATTATTGAAATGAAAGCAAATAGATAGAGCCGGTCATTTCCTTCCCCAAATATCATATCAATTATAAATCATATCACCCCATGCCCGTCACGTGCCGCACCCTACACGCACCCTACATGCACCCTACACACACCCTACACGCACCCTACATGCACCCTACATGCACCCTACACGCACCCTACATGCACCCTACACACACCCTACACGCACCCTACATGCACCCTACACGCACCCTATATGCACCCTACACACACTCTACACGCACCCTATATGCACCCACACACACTCTACACGCACCCTACACGCACCCTATATGCACCCTACACACACTCTACACGCACCCTACACGCACCCTATATGCACCCTACACACTACATGCACCCTACACGCCAAGGACATTGATCAGGCTAGAGATTTGTCACAGGAAATAGCGGCAGCCAGAATCCTGGTACTGAACAGAAAGGAGGGCGCCACCATCCAAGTGCAGCTTTATTTGTGATAATACGTCTCGGCTCCACACAAAGGTGCATTTACGGCCCTGAAACCACGACTGTCGGCGTATGATGCCACCCGCCAGATCAAGTCTGGAACGCCCAGCCACTTCAGTGCATTGTTCTACGTTCCGCCTTTGGCCTACCCATTCCTGGCGCTGCTCTGCATCAGCAGCTGCCTCCCTGGGGAACTCTGCGGATCCGCCCCGGGTTCTGTTGTCCTTTTCCTACTAGGAATGAGGGATGACGTATCGTCTACAGGCCGGCCTCCCATGGTTTTCAGTGAGTGCATTATTGTTTATTGTCGGGTTTTAACCCCTTGCTGACCAGTCAGGTACCCGGAACGTCCCCGGTCTTCAAGTGGTACCGGGAAGATGCCTGCAGCTGAAGGAATCATCCCGGTACCATTTTTTAGAGCGACATTCGTCTCTCTTACTAACTAGCCACTCAATCGCTTTCACAAGCAGTGGGAGGGGATGTCCCCGTCCCCCCCCCGCCCTCTGCCTTTCACCGCTTGCTCGGGATCTCCTGATAATGCTGGACGTCCTCCAGCCAGGAAAGGAGGCAGAGCTCTATCTGACTGGCTGCAGCTTCTAATGCACACTGTGAGAAGCTCACCGTGTGCAGTGACATCAGAGGAAGACGTTCCAGAAGAGTAGCCGATACACCTGTGCAAGACTGAAGGGGAGGAGCCAGTACACCTGTGCAAGACTAAAGGGGAGGAGCCGGTACACCTGTGCAAGACTGAAGGGGAGGAGCCGGTACACCTGTTCAAGACTGAATGGGAGGAGCCGGTACACCTGTGGAAGACTAAAGGGGAGGGGCCAGTACACATGTGCAATACAGAAGGGGAGGGGCCAGTACAACTGTGCAAGACTGAAGGGGAGGAGCCAGTACACCTGTGCAAGACTGAATGGGAGGAGCCGGTACACCTGTGGAAGACTAAAGGGGAGGAGCCAGTACACATGTGCAATACGGAAGGGGAGGGGCCAGTACAACTGTGCAAGACTGAAGGGGAGGAGCCAATACAACTGTGCAAGACTGAAGTGGAGGCCGGAGGTCAGATTTGTACAGTGGTAAGTATGTGGACCCCCTTCCCCCTATCTCTATAATATTGTAAAATCCGTCATACAAAGACATTGTGCTCTTCCTACCTTGTGGTAACAGTTTGGTGAAGACCCTTTCCTGGGTCTTCTAACATCAGTCCCTTCCTTTGGAGGTTCATGATTAAAGAACTCGGTCAGTAACTGTAATAGGGGTCATCCTACTCCAAACAGATACACTATATGGTCCAAAAGACGTAGACCCCCCCCCCCCCTAAATAATGGCATTCAGGTGTCTACATTATAGACAATTGTGCTCTTCCAAACTTGTGGCAGCAGTTTGGTGAAGACCCTTTTCTGTTCCCCCATGACTGTCCCCTGTGTACAAAGCCAGCTCCATAAAGACATGGATGACCAGTTTGGTGTGGAGGAACTCAAGTTTCCTGTACAAAGCCCCGACCTCAACCCTACTGAACACCTTTGGGATGAATTGGAATGTTGATTGGCAGCCAGGTCTTCTCATCCAGCATCATCTCTGTCCTTGGAGGTTCATGGTTAAAAAACTATCAATAACGGTAATGGGGTCATCCCACTTCAAACAGAAACACTATATGGCCGAAAGGATGTAGACCCTTATCTGAATGATGGAGCTGAGGTGTCTCCAGTGAAGGGTCCTGGCAATACTACAGCATACAAAACATTGTAGACAATTATGCTCTTCCAACCTTGTGGGAATAATTTTCTGACGGCCTTTGAGTGTCCTGCACAGAAGCCTGACCCCAACCATAATGAACACCTTTGGAATATTGATGGCCAGCCAGGTCTTCTCATCCATCACCAGTACCTGACCTCACATATGGTATAAATTCCCACATTCGCCCATCAAAATTTTGTAAAAAGCTTTCCAAGAAGAGTGGAGGATGGTATAGCCACAAAGGAGGTAACTCCATACTAATGGCCATGGGGGGAGGAATTCCATATTAATGGCCATGGTTTCTAGTGAAGGGTACTATTAATGCTGCGTCATACAAAGACATTGTAGACATTTTTATTCCTCCAACTTTGTGATAATAGTTTGGCGAAGACCTTTGAGTGTCCTGCACAGAAGCCTGACCCAACACTAATGAACACCTTTGGGATAAATTGGAATGTTGATGACCAGCCAGGTCTTCTCGTCCATCACCAGTACCTGACTTCACATATGGTATAAATTCCCACTTGCAACCACATTTTGTAGAAAGCCTTCCAAGAAGAGTGGACGATGGTATAGCCACAAAGGCGGTAACTCCATACTAATGACCATTCCATTTAATGCTGCATCATACAAAGTCACTGTAGACAAGCCTTCCAACCTGGACGATGGATAATAGCGAAGACCATTGTCCTGCACAGGCGGACCCACTCTAATGAACACTTTGGGATACATTGACCATGTTGATGGTGAGTCAGGTCTTCTCATCCAACATCATCTCTGTCCTTGGAGGTTCATATTTAAAGAACTCTATCAATAACGGTAATGGGGTCATCCCACTTCAAACAGAAACACTATATGGCCGAAAGGATGTAGACCCTTATCCAAATGATGGAGTTGAGGTGTCTCCAGTGAAGGGTCTTGGAAATACTACAGCATACAAGAGATTGTAGACAATTGTGTTCTTCCAACCTTGTGGGAATAATTTGCTGAAGACCTTTGAGTGTCCTGCAGAGAAGCCTGACCCCAACCATAATGAACACCTTGGGGATAAACTGGAATGTTGATGGTGAGTCAGGTCTTCTCATCCAACATCAGTCCTGTCCTTGGAGGTTCATGCCTAACGAACTCTATCAATAATGGTAATGGGCAGGGGCGGTCTGACAACTCATGGGGCCCCCGGGCAATAGGGGATCATGGGGCTCCTGTGTCCTTGCCCAAATTCAAAAAAACCTATGAAAAAGGTACCAGAGGCATCTCATGGGGCCCCCTACTGACCCCGGGCCCTCGGGCAGTGCCCAAGTTTCCAAATGGTCAGTCCGCCCCTGGTAATCGGACATCCCGCTCCGAACAGATAAACTATTTGGCCCCAAGGACGGTGTTTACTGCACTTGCACGGCACTCGCTGTACAAACTAAAACAGAAAAGTTCCAGCAGACAAGTTGAAGTTTGTTCGGTATAATAGACATCTGAAGTCTCTTCTATTACTGCCTGCTAGCGATTTTATGGAGGTAACTCCATACTAATGGACATGGGAAAGGGGGGCAATTCCATATTAATGGCCATGGTTTCTAGTGAAGGGTACTATTAATACTGCATCATACAAAGACATTGTAGACATTTTTATTCCTCCAACTTTGTGATAATAGTTTGGCGAAGACCTTTGAGTGTCCTGCAGAGAAGCCTGAACCCAACCATAATGAACACCTTGGGGATACATTGGAATGTTGATGGTGAGTCAGGTCTTCTCATCCAACATCAGTCCTGTCCTTGGAGGTTCATGCCTAACGAACTCTATCAATAATGGTAATGGGACATCCCGCTCCGAACAGATAAACTAATTGGCCCCAAGGACGGTGTTTACTGCACTTGGACGGCACTCGCTGTACAAACTAAAACAGAAAAGTTCCAGCAGACAAGTTGAAGTTTGTTCGGTATAATAGACATCTGAAGTCTCTTCTATTACTGCCTGCGAGCGACTTCTTTTTAAATAACACGGTCCCACTGTAAAGTGCATTTTTGAAATCCAGCGAGTCTTAGACTTGAGCACCGGCTGTCAGTCAACTGTCAAGACTAGACGTTCTAAAAATGCATTTAGGTCACAGACACGGCCATTAGTGGAGTCAGCGGTGTGAACGTATAGAAAGTGAACCTGTGATTTCCCAGCATGCTAATGTGTTCATTGTGCCAGAGCCACAAACAGCTTTGGACATAAAAATCGCGTTACCTCTTAGCGGCTGCAATGCGGGGATTGATTACAGAACCGAATGCAACATTGGACCCACGTGACATTTTTAGCATTTTTTTTCACACAAATAGAGCTTTCTTTTGGTGGTATGTAATCACTACTGGGGGTCTTTAATTGTTTGCACTATAAATGAAAAAAGGCCCAAAATTTTGGAAAAAAAAGTTTTTCTTTGTTTTGTTATGAAATTTTGCAAACAGGTAATTTTTCTCCTTCACTGATGTGCGTTGATGAGGCGGCACTGATAGGCAGCATAGATGGGCACTGATAGGCTGCACTGATGGGCACTGATGAAGCGGCACTGGTGGGCATTGATGAGGAGGCACTGATGAGGCTGCACTGATAGGAGGCAAAGATGGGCACTGATGAGGCAGCATAGATAGGCTGCACTGATGGGCACTGATAGGCTGCACTGATGGGCACTGATGAGGCGGAACCGGTGGGCATTGATGAGGAGGCACTGATGAGGCTGCATTAATACGAGGCATGGATAGGCGGCAATGATGGGCACTGATGGACACTGATAAGGCAGCATTGATAGGCTGCACTGATGGGCACTGATAGCGTGCACTGATGGACACTGATGAGGCGGCAAAGGTGGGCATTGATGAGGAGGTACTGATGAGGCTGCACTGATAGGAGGCACTGATGGGCTCTGATAGGAGGCAATGATGGGCACTGATAGGCAGCACTGATGGGCACAAATAGGCAGCACTGAAGGACAATAACTGGTGGCACTGACTGGCAGCAGTGACGGGCACAGATTGGCAGCACTGTTGGGCACTGATGAGCAGCACTGTTGGGCACTGATAGGTAGCACTGTTGGGCACTGATGGGCACTTTAGGGGCTGCACTGTCAAAGGAGACATCTACACTGAACATAAGTGCCCTGATTATCAGTGCAGATGTCTCCTTTGACAGTTGCTGGCTACTGGCAGTACTTCCCTCACACTGTGACAGTGAGGAATGTACTGCCGATAACCAGCAAGTGTACTTACATGGTGATTGGCTGCGATTGGCCTTTTGTCACCGTGTCATGTGCCCAAGGATACCGTGATCATAGAGAGTGCGACGCCCTCCCAGAACTGGACAACCCCGCCATCATCAGGCTATAGTGTGGTCAAGAAGTGGTTAATACCCCATGGCCACATACCGTTCCATTCCATTTCTCAGGCTGCTGTGGTGGCGGGAGTACACAGAGGGCGGAGCCTACATAGAAGCTCATGTAGCAGCATTGGGGTCTCCAGTTTTATTGATGGGCGACCCCCAAATCTCTCTCTTCACCTCTAGCTGCTTATGCTATACAGGAGAGTAAGAACTCGGGAGCGCCATTTGTACCCGGAGGGCGCCGGCTTCTGTACACTTAATGCCCGGAATGCAAAGAGTACTCCTGCCGCCCTAAAGACGGCCCTGGACATGTGACTTGGCGGCCAAATGCCCAGTGTGCCGTGTCGCCAGTCCGGGCCTGCCCCTTTCCTATCTGTTCCCCGCATCTCCTGCTTACCTTGGTTGTCCGTGTTCTTCATTTTATACATATTGTATATAGTTAGTGTTATTACTTCGGATTTCTGTTATTCTGTTTAGATCGGTATTTAGATGCTGGACTTTTAGTTTGCTTTTATCTTTGCTGCTTGCTGGTGTTTGGATGTCTTTTGTTTTACTAGAAATACTGTAAATCACTGCCAGGGATATGCTGGCCAGAGTGTAACTGAGGCTCAGAGCTGCACAGACGCGGGCCTGCGGGGCGCTCGTACTAATGTGTGCAGGCGCGGGCATATGTGCCCACAGGAAAGCGCATTGGCATATAAGTACAACAGCTGCACTAAGGAATTGCTGTCTGATCTGCAGCTCTCCCTGTATTCCTGTGCCTTTTCCTGCATTGATACCCGTGACTGACCCGGCTTGTCTTGACCTCGCTTGAACGCTACCTGCACTGATCTCGGCTTGCTTCTTGGACTCTGCTATTT